TTTGTAAATGCGTTATTCTATCAACTCGTATTTGTTCCCTGGGGTTAGGGTTAAGCATTATTTTGTACTTGATTGAACAGTAATAGTCACAGTAATGCATCCCATTGTGTTTTGACGCCGTGTGTTTTCACGTTATGCCTGTCAAGATTGTTTAGAATGCACCCACTCACTCACTCTAACGCATTTGAATTTCTCTTCCGAATTCAGGCCTAAGCTCAGCGTCTCGAAAGTCGAAACATTGTTGATCAGTCTACGGAGTCACAAGTTATATCAGGTTGATCTAATTAGGACTATTTACTCGCACTTCAGTTCATGTTGTCTTCGGACATGAAGTGATAGGTGTAGAATTTGTTATGTATGAATATTATGACCTTGTAGATTACGAGCGAACCTAACTTAATGCGCTGGCTAATCTGTCCTGATCGCACGTCAACAACAACAACAACAACAACAATACCACCGGGCACGCAAGACAAGGAAAGAAGACTAGACGTTGATACGAGAGCTTTTACTGTCTCTACAACAGTCGAAAATGTTAAACGAAACTCCGTACTTATACAGTTAGGAAAATCAATGCCACATTTAAAAAATATTAACAACCAATGGGAATTCAGTAAATTCAATCAAGCAGGTGCGAAAAATCAATATTGATGAGTCACCAGTGCATATATCAGAAAGCGATATTGCGTTCGGTATTTTCTTAAACTTTTGTGAACATTAGTTCCATAAGTAAACACCTTCACCTGAATCAGTTTGGTCTTCTCCGATTGGTTGGTTCAAAGTTTTCCATGAGACTGGATTACCGTAGTTTAACCACAATTTTGAGATTGATATTTCTCAAGAGCTTTGAATTTGCATCAAACAGAACACTTATCGCTAATCTTTTTGGGTCATATAGCTGGACCCCATTCTTAACTAAATTGATTGCAATAAAACCATGTAAATGGACAAGAAAAATACTTTATCGATCAGTTTGATATCTAAGAAGTATTTGCCTTATGACTGGGTTCCTTCTGCAGATGCATGGTCAACTACAGTGGACGAATTTTAAGTTTAACCTGTATTGATTTGTGAAACCTGCATTATGTCTTTAAGTTAAATCGAATGACTCAATTTTGACTCTCAATTGATTACCATGAAGTTTAGTAGATGAATTCAGCAGAAAGTGATCGCAGAAAATCATATTTCAAACTATCACTTTATGGCGTATGTATATATATATGCTAATATTGCAGATACTAATTCCAAATACGGATTATAATATGGTTTTTGTGAATTAGAACTGAGATTGTCTTCAGGTTGAGATTTTAATGACACTGTGATCTCTGTCTTTATTCTCAGTTGGAAAGCTGTAGCAGACAGACAATGAAGTTGTAAAAATCATCACCAGGTGAGGTAACTTCTACACTCGCTACGCATGTCTGCTTACTGTGCTGTGTATCAGCAGAATCAGATCAATGGAAAGCGAAGGTTGATCGAACAGACACTGATTTATAAGTTGACTTACCCTTCCTCTGATCCTTGTGAAACTACTCAGTGCCGCAAAAGGAACTAAGCACTTGAAGTTTTGGAGAAATTACTTTATGGGGAAAACAGTTCATCTGTTTATGTGTGGCCCAAACGGATAAGTAGTGGACCTACTGAAGTTAGCTTTAAATAATGTCAACTTAAAGTTAAGAGGTATTATGACTGAGGAGACGCAAAACTCATGCTAAGAATAATCTATTCATCCTTTATTTAAATTTAACCAATCTGTCTTCACATTGGAAAGTTCGAAATTGGTATGATTCACGTGTGAAGTTGCATCAACTAGTTATCCTTTACAAACTGATTAAGGTATTCTAACGAAAAAATCCACTTTAGTGACATTTCTTATGAACGAGTAACTTCTAGATTACCAGGAATTTGAAATGAAGAGGTTAAACTGAAGCAGTAAATTCTTCAGCTGGCTTAAACATCACAGTTATGTTCACTTTATTTACTTAGAATAATTCCTGGTGGTAATTTACGATATTCAGAGTTGATAAATTACCTGCATTTTAATATGGTGTAGCACTTCGTGGCCACCAAAAGTTAACATTAACCGTCAAACGGAAATAGTTCTTCACCTTCCAAAATTGAATTGAACAAAAGTAAGTAGACAACTGGAGATGCAAGTCACCTAAAACAATAATAACTAGTACCTGTTTCACAAGCAGCAACTCTCACGGTCCATGCCGGTTAGTGCATAACACTTTTGCATTTAAAATAACGGGTTTAGGGGTCGAGTCACATCATCACTCACTAGAGATGCAGGCACATCAAGCTGATGAGTCCTAAACAGATCGAAATGTCCATGCTGCATTCCACTATTAATCAACATTAGCTAAAATAGAAAGAGTAATCAGTTCATATTTTACAGTACTACAATTCAAAAGAGCTGAAAAACGTCTACTTTAGAAAATATTATCCTCTATATGCAAGTTAGAGAAAGTGTTATTGTGTCACACATGTGATTTAAACGAAAAGGCAAACGACAGATAACAAAAGTATGAGTCATACGAACTGTTGATTTTATAACTGGTGTGTATTTTGAATAGGTTTAATTGCACCTTGTATACAAATCAATAAACATTTATTAAATGTGAGCTCTAATCACTAAGATATTTTATTCAATCTGACCATGTCATCTGAGTTGTACTCATTAAAAAAAAAATTAGCAGTTTAGAATAATTCATTTTTTCAAAAGTCGCCAATGCAGCTGGTTGTGTTATTCTGTTTTTGTTGCGTGATGCTATTCAATCTGGCTCTGAAGTACATTCTGAAGCTATTTATTGAACAAATGGACTGGATTGAAATCAAAATTCAGATGAGGTAGGTGAATCTAATGTGATATTTCCCTAATCAATTCATTTACATAGAAACGATTCACTCACTTAACTTGGATAGCTTCTATTTTTTGTGAATTAGTCAGGAAGACCGCGAAATCACTTGTTGCATGTGTTACTTGTATTGTTAAAATAAAGATCTGTGTTGCATACTTGAGTGTTTTAAAGTAGTATCATCGGGTTCACGTGTGTGTGTGTTATTCGCGAGTGCGTTAGTTATTCAGATAGATGTGGACATTCCGCTTTTCCACGCGATTTACTATTTGTAAATGCGTTATTCTATCAACTCGTATTTGTTCCCTGGGGTTAGGGTTAAGCATTATTTTGTACTTGATTGAACAGTAATAGTCACAGTAATGCATCCCATTGTGTTTTGACGCCGTGTGTTTTCACGTTATGCCTGTCAAGATTGTTTAGAATGCACCCACTCACTCACTCTAACGCATTTGAATTTCTCTTCCGAATTCAGGCCTAAGCTCAGCGTCTCGAAAGTCGAAACATTGTTGATCAGTCTACGGAGTCACAAGTTATATCAGGTTGATCTAATTAGGACTATTTACTCGCACTTCAGTTCATGTTGTCTTCGGACATGAAGTGATAGGTGTAGAATTTGTTATGTATGAATATTATGACCTTGTAGACTACGAGCGAATCTAACTTAATGCGCTCGCTAATCTGTCCTGATCGCACGTCAACAACAACAACAACAACAACAATACCACCGGGCACGCAACACAAGGAAAGAAGACTAGACGTTGATACGAGAGCTTTTACTGTCTCTACAACAGTCGAAAATGTTAAACGAAACTCCGTACTTATACAGTTAGGAAAATCAATGCCACATTTAAAAAATATTAACAACCAATGGGAATTCAGTAAATTCAATCAAGCAGGTGCGAAAAATCAATATTGATGAGTCACCAGTGTATATATCAACGACCCACATTCATTATTTGGTAACAGGAAAAAACTTATTTTCAGAGCATTTGGAATCATGCACCCACGGTGATTGATCCAGGTTTATTTTCATTAAAGGATTGCAAAGTTTATCGTGAAAAACGTTTTTATCCGTATTCATTTTAAGAATAGTACAATACTTTGCTAATTTCTTGGTTTCCGGCTTTTACTGACTTAACCTTTCTATTGTGTTGAAACGGTTAGTGAGTTATACCATTTTTCGCATAAGTGTCAATATCAACTAAGCTTTAGGGGGACAGTAATTTCGTCTGCCTAGCGATTTCTAACATGTTACCAGGTTCATTATGGATAAGAATTTATTTTGATAAATCACACAGTGTTGTACAGTTAAATTACTGTACAACACTGTGATTTATCAAAATAGAATCTTATTCATAATGGAGTTATGCTCTACCAGTGTCCAAGTTTTATACTTATATCAACGTTACCAGGTTTTTCGAAAGCGTTTGAATGATTTTATACGAACTTCAGATCAGGTATACTTTGTGTTTCAATAGATTAATGCTGTACTTAATACCTCTACTTTCTTTTAGTCTACGAATAATTGTTTCGCATAGTGATTTCTCTCACGGACTGAAATTTCTTTACCTCAGTATATAGAGGACTAGTCTATTACTGCTTACTAATACTCTTAATTTATCGATGTTTTAACTTTTGAAAGTGGTTATGTTTGATGTAAATATTCGCGAGTGCTCTCACTCAGTTCACCTTTTTCTAAGAAGACCACCAGTATACATTGTTTTCTTCGTCCTCTGCAGCCACACACTGTTAGAGGTAGGTTGACAGAGACGTTAGACTGAGCCTAATTCATAAGAAAAAATTAGGTTAGCATAAGTATGCAACATTCTTGGGAAAGCCATATTGACTATTTACCATTTAAATATTGTCTTGCACGAGTTTCTTCACCACTTGCGAAGTAACTGAGGCCTATAGGTTTTATCAATATATTCCTTATGCAGCTAATTTGCATCCATTCAACTTGTTTGAAAGCTCCTATTTTACTTTCTGCGAATGCCCACGGCCATTCCATTCTCACATATTACGAGCAACCTGATGGCCTGTATACGAAGTACAGTCAACCGTTTTTCTTTACTTTACCGCCTAGCCGTCGCATATTTGTTTTACACTAAACCAATCATAATGCAGTTGTGTACAGCTTTATACACACACTTTTATTTTGGTGTAGTTTCCGGGGATATTTGATAGCTGAATCAGTTTAAACCCATAGAATTCTGGTTGGTTATAAACATTCTTTTACTCCTGAACACGAAAATCACTAATTGCTACAACAAAAAATATACAAACAAACCAAGTAACATCTTCATTGAAGCTAAATAATTATTGGTTATACATATTCAAAATCGTCTATCTGTACAAAATGATATTTTCATATTGTCGAAATTATGATCATCTTTAAGTAGGATTTTGAAGATCTGCTGATGAACGAAGAATAATTTGTTTCTTTGAAAATCCAGCATCTGTTTCGAGGACTAGATAACGATATTCAAATTCTTTGGATTCATTCTAATTAATACAGAAAAAAGTATGAAAAAATATTATATAAATTTACCAGCTGATTAAATATATGTGATTGAATTTCATACAAATGGTTCTCTTGACAAATCTAAGTGACGCAATATATAGCCGACATATTTCTGTTGCTATTCTGCAACATTATCCAAATAAATGAATTTATTGGGTGATATGCACAGATTAATTCTGTTACTATTTACTTACTACTCCAAGTAGTATAAATTAAACACGAAAAGTTCCGTCTTAAATCTTAATATCTTGTCGATATAAACGCAACATGTTATGAACATGAAATCTTATCCAATGACGATGATAAAATGAGACTGAAGATATTTCAACGGTCAAATAAGGCTGGAATCCAAAAATCAAAGATGAAACTAGATATTAAGTAAGTGGATAATACGAGGTTAAACAGTCTTAAGTGCGTCGGTGGCATAGCGGTTAGGACGCTCGCCAACCATGCACATGGTCCGGGATTCGATCCCCGGCCGACGCACTCCTTTACCTCACTAAGCCAGAAATAATGCTGGTGAAGAGGAAAGGTTGGGCATGAGGCTAGCAATCCCATCCTGTAAAATAAGCACTGCTACAGAAACTTCAAGCTACTAGCTTGAAGCCCTATGCTCCACTGGGGAACATGAAGGAAAAAAGTCTTGATGGACAATATGAAAGGGGTGAGGAATTTTGGATGATAAATTTACTGATAAAGTCTATCCTAGTAGGGTGAAAAACATAGAATACATTTTCCGGATATAAACATGAGCTATTTCCTCGTATTACAATGAGTTTGACCGTGTGAACTGAATTTTCACAGTAGAACTCCGTTCATAGCAGTCAAACATTTCATAAATGTCAAGATGCAAGAAAAAGATGTCATGAAAGACTGAGTAGATAAAAAGCAGCTATTAGTAGTAGAAAAAATTATATGGATGCTAATGATCAGCAAAGAGTAACACATGACATTTCTGTATCGGTAAAAGTAACGTATTTATTATATTAGTTCTCTTCATTTTGAAATACAACTACATTTTATCGTAAAACCAAAATTAATTCTCATTAAATAAAAATCAGAAGACAAACAAGTGAATTATGAAACATACTTCTACAACTTCCAGATGAACAACACCAGATGCTAAATTACCATCGAGGTGAAATTTCATTGCCATATGGAGTCGCCCTTTGTCGTCATACCAAGAATCATGACTAAAAGTTTAATGAACAAAAACTAAAATCAATGACCCCTAGGGAGAAGCTGGTAATATAAAAGTCTGAAAAAATTAAGCGGAGATTTTATGTAACATTTTAAGCAGTTGTGTAGTATGGTTTTCCTCTTAATTTACGATTTCATTGCTTATGCACTTACATGAGTCAATATTCTAGATAAAAATACCGCGATTATCTTAAAAATTGTGGATAGCGAATTTCTACGGGATTGGTTACAGGATTTCATCATGAGCTGATATCGGTTAGAGAACCATTGGAAAACCAACAGGGAGTACAGGGCAGCTGTTTCGTCCCATTTCGGGAACCTTCACCAGTACGCACCCACCTCACTGGGGTTCGAATCAAGGACCTTCCAGTTACAATGTGAGCTCGTAGACTATGAAGCCACTGGGACTCGATCCGATGAATTCCAACTTCTGCTAATTCACGATATAGTGCGACCACTAGCCAATGTCATCAACGGCTATTTATCCTCACACCCGACCTACTGTACCCTACTGGTCACGACTTCCCACGGAATTATTAGATTGCTCTTTTGATACAAAAGGTGAGAATGCTGAGTGCATCCTTATCGAGTAATGAATGGATATGTTTTGCTCAAGAGCAAATCGATGTCGATAGGCAATGAAACAGTTTTGCATCATTAACCACTATATTTATGCTGAAGATAAGACTGACTTGAGCAAGTAAGTAGTTTGTACAGACCTATGGAGAACACAGTAGAGATAATCGACTTCTTACAACTTATATCAGCTGGGATGTATCTGAACTATACCAGATGCATAGTGTAAACCACGTAAAAATTGTTTATTATAGGGCAGAGTCGTGTAGTAATTAAATACTTTCATAAACTCTCCGATCTATATATTCACATAATAGGTAGTATTTTGTCTGAGATACTTCCATAAGTTATACTAAAACAGTTTGTTACACTCGACTTTTTCTTTAATCTGCACTGCAGTTAGCAAGAATATCCAAGAAACAAAATCTTTACACCCGAATCAAACTACCATGAGGAAACCATCGTCAGAAACCACGTAAAATTCATAGAATTATACATAAGGAATATTTCTGAAATAACAGCTAGAATACCCAAACTATTCGAAACAGATAAAGCACAAAAGACAATACAATCACTTCATTTTATGTTCTACAGACCAAAGGATACATCCGCAAAAGAAGACATCATAATGTACGAAATAAACTGCATGAACTGTGATAAGCATTATTTTAGTCAAGATGGGCGTCCCCTTTGACTCAGAATTCAAGAATGTAGACTGGCTGTCAAAAAATACGACATGTATTTTTTCATATCGATGTCAGTAGACAACTGTGGACACCAATTTGATTGGGAGTATGCAGAAATTATAAAGTGAAAACACTTAAATGCCAGGGAATTTCTAGAAGCTTGGTAATCAGATGAATCAGTGATTAATAGACACACTACTATAGATCAAATTTACGAGCTAATAAAGAATAAGCCACATGACAAAGTGCAAGCCAATAAAAACGATCAATAGTGATGCAAATTCACTAACCACGATAAAGGTTGTCAGGAGACACAATTATATCATTCATGGAGAATTCCAATTAGTTCACTTCACATTAAAGGTTGCACTGAAGATGTTATCTAGGACAAAGAAACCTCCTCAGTTAAATCACCCAGCTCAGACAACGCAACCAAATCCCAAACAAAAACCACCGACAAGTTCGGAAAATATTCCTCAGACAGGAGGTCATTTGCAAATATGTGAAGTTTTAACGGATTTACATAATAAGTCTACAAACTACAGGTTAATGAGTATCTTGCCTGTAGATTTTATGGTAATGGACCACTTGACTCAAATAACAACCATTTGCACTGCAAACCCATAGATTCCTGGCAAATTACACGTCTGCTACTGTTTTATTCATATCAATTGTTTCTTATCCACTTAGTTTTAAGACCATGACTTCGGTTGCATCTTACGCTGGGGTGCGCAAGCATGATAGAAATGACAATATCAAATGCTTCATCCTCTTCTGATATTCTAATTATTTAAATCTGTAAGTGGTCGCTGACTTGCGTTGAAATTACACTGAAACTGCCAATGAATGAGATAAAACAAGCTTTAATATTTGGAATCTTTCCTGACCATTAGGTGGAAGGAATGCAACTTTTTAACTACTGTCTATGTGAACTAAAATTAGTTCCACGATGAAGTGTTTCAGAGTGATTCCCGAGAGTAGATATTAAATTTCTTGTCATTTTCAAGCGATTCGCCTCTACAATTATTGAGAACTTTTAGTTTGCTAGGCAGTGACTGATGGAAATTTTGGATGGCTGCTGTGCTGAAAAACACGATACACCTTATTCTTTCACCATTATTTTACTTAATTTTTCAAATCAGGAAAAAAAAAACATCTGAATTCGCTTAGGCACAATACGTAGACGGCAGTAATACAAGATTGGATATTATGAAAACAATTGTTGTTGACAGTAATAATATTACGTACTAACACTTTTAATGACTGTCGAACATGCTGGTAGTGAGATCCGAAGAAGCAAATGAGTCAAGCATATCTTCCTGCTTTATAACCATTTTTGGAAATGTTCTTATCTAACAAGACTTTAGTAAACTGATAAATAGCCGACAACGCAGTCTAAACTTAGGACAACAGTAGTGGTCAGAAGAATTAGAATAGCTTACGCAATGTTTCTTCTACGGCCACGACTTTTTGGATCACCATGAGCCTTGATAGAACTTCCAAGAAGATTCAAGACCTACGATACAATTAGGTGGGATGATTTACTTTTAATGGAAACGAACTCTGTTATCTGACTTGCAAATCTTGAAGGCATCATTATAAACACCATTTGAACTTTTACTAGAAAAAAGCTCTTGGACGATTGTGTAAAGGATAGCACCTAAACAATAATATTTTCCTCGTGCTACTGACACTCACCGGTAAGTGCGAGTCCACCAATAACTATCGTGAAGTATCCCACATCTTTTGTTGCTTGTTTTACTTTACCGAAATCAGCAAATACATATGAGAATACCTCTTATTGTAACATTTGTCGACGGCAAGTTCTCGCTTCCTTTAGTTTGAGCGACTGACTTGCCACTACTTGAAGTGGAGGTGCGACAAAGAATAACCGGCCATCTGTAGTAAGTACAACGACAGAAATGAAACTTCGTTGGTGTGAGACAATTTAAAGGAAATAACCGGAGAACCGGCATTTGGCCTTGCTTTTGAAATGGTGGAACTTAGGGCCACTGTTCAATTCAAGGTTAGATTTTCTGGTTGAGTATACAAGACATAAAGACTATGTTATTCTTGTCTTATAAGTATCCATGATTACCTAATCCTTTCTTGAAAGAGTCAGTTATAAGTGTTAATGACTTGGGGGGGAGAACAAGCACCCCGCATCCTTATAACTCATCTTTTGCTTTTAAACTCTTCAGCTGTGTCTGGGACACTCTAATCTGGTGGAAGGTAAAATATAAATTCGACCATGTCCACACTCATTTATTAAAATGAAGGAGTTAAACTATAGCAGGATTAGTCAAAGAACTTAGCAGTAATTGGGTCCACGAAATCGGTGAAGTGGTTAATACGGTAGTGAATACAACCAAAAGATCACATTCGGTTATATCCCCAACACAGATTTAATATTCTCATAGTATTCAAACATTCAGTCTTGATGGAACTCATTTAGCAAACCAAAGGCATGGCTTTAGTTAGAATGACCATTCGTAAGATTCTTTCAAAATGGTTGGTTGTTCGAGGTTAGTTTTTGACGGTTGTTGGCTGCAGCTGATATAGTTCAACTTCCCCCTTGAAATACTCTGTGCCGCGATTACATATCATCTCTTCTCGCAGTGTGACAGTGAGAAGAGATTCGGGTTGTTAAGTCGTTCCTTGTGTGATAGATAGGTCATAACAGAATTTATGCGCGTGACCTATATATATATGTACATATATATAAAAGGCTGACTGGATTCAGTTTTCGAGCTCCAACCTCCTATACATGTGTATAAATTGGTGAACATGACGCTAGTGACTTTAACAAAGCGCTTACCTATAAGGTTCTAGAGCCAAGAGATGCCACTGAGAATCAGTAGACCTTAGACTTTAAATAATGACTTGCTACTCACCCGCGTGTGTCTGTGCTGGAGGAAATGGTTTTGCCTATATGTCATGTACGTAATCGTTCACTTCGCTGGTGGAAATTATCCATTCCTCAGAGAAACCTAACAGATTTTTGGGATTTGTTTGCAGCATGAACACCCCATTGTTATCCTTAGCTATCTTCAGATTTTTGGGATTTCTTAGTATACAACTAAAGGTGATTTGTTGAGCCCAGATAAATGGCTGATATAAAGCATAAATAGTAGGGGATGAGTACGATGTAACACCTTATAGCACAGAAAGTAGTTTTCGCGTCGATCCTGACTCTCTGTCTCCTAAATTCAAGGAATTTCTCGATCCAGCTCTGTAGGTGATTCCAAAATGTTTCAGTTTCATGAGCAACCTCGTTCGAAGAATCCGTAGGAAAGATTTTCTTGAATATACAAAGGCAACACTGATAGGTTGTCTGTGATTTTTAGACTTGAAGCAGCTTTCTCATTCAGTGAAATTTATCATATACGCGAAGTTCCTACAGGAACGGTACCGTCCGTTGGATAAAATGTTGTTTTCCAAATACGCCCTAGCGAAATGATCATTCTTTCCATAACCATAACTTATGTGATGGTTAGACTAATAGGCCAGTGTTTTGAAGGTCAGTGATCAAGACCTTCGGCAGTAAAGAGTAATTACCGCCACAGAACACTAAATGAAAGGAATACTACAAAGATAGTAGACAACAAGCTGTTTATGTGAGAAACTCTTGTCGAAGATCATCAGGTCCCACTGACTTCCTTGTGTCTAGTTTGTGTAGGTAATATAATTCGACGTTTCTCTGCGTCTGTGAAATCTGTTTCAATTCATTCTGTCGCGGCCGCAGTTGGTATCGCTTCCTCTCTCTCTCTCCTGATCCTAAACTAGTGTATCTGAAGTGTCAGTCTGGCTGGGGACCCGTGACAAGTCTTGTTCGTGTGTTCATGAGAAAAAATTGTCTCATGGGTTGTGCTATAGTTTCTTGAACTAAGTTTATTCCAAATTTTCTCTGTGATTGGCGAATTTCCGTAATAGCTTTATTTATATCTACAGTTCACAGCCTTCTTTCATCTTAATTCGCGAGGGTCACGTCTCAATAATCATGTTCACATTGAAGCAAATGAAAAATTCCTAAGTTTATCATTTAAGGCAGTGTTTTAGACCAATACGGGCAGTCCACAGGGTGCGTATTGGATATAACCTGATGTGTGGCTGACCACTCTGCCTCCACATGAGCTTCTAGACCCTAAATCTGGTCCTGTATTGGAGATGCATCGACAGTAGCATTTGTATAGGCTTTTTGCAGGTTTTTCATTGTTAGCACCATGACCACGGATACCACAGTATTAATGAACTAAAAGCCAAGAACATCGTGACCACATTTTCTTAGAGATTGGAGAATGATTATTCTAATGTACAGGCCTCAAATGGATCATGTTCTAAGGAAACGAGCTAATTTCATCCTACCTGATGCCTATAGCCATATGAAAAATTACTTTGTAGGTTTTAATGAGAAGGATGTCTGAAATCCTTAAGCTGATCGCACAGCCTAGGTGGTGAAGGCATTTTGCTCCGAAAGCATTCAGATATTTTGTGTTATCTTTGTTACACACACGCTCTGAAGGGACTGACTCGCACTCTTTGGCCAAATCGATCCAAGTGGAATTATATTGACAAACTTCTGAAGGACAGCAAGATTATTGTTCTGTCCTGCAAAGTTCATCATACAAACATTGTACAGACTGTCGAATACAGATTTCAGATTTATTGGTTGAGAATAGAAGGCTTGGAGCGTATGTTATTCCTTTTCTGTGGTTGTCCAAACACTTCTTGAACGAATCAACTAAGGTTGCAGACACCACTTCTTCTGGGAGTCGGTTCCAAGAGTTTATGACTCGGTGTGAGAACCAGTACTTAACAGGAATATGATTTCTTCTTTGCTTTTGAACTCTCCTGCTATGTCCTCTAAGGTGTTCCGACCTGGTGGGAGGGAAAAGAGAAAATAGGTCAGGTCCGTAGTCATTATTTAAAATTTTAAACATTGTGATTAAATCTCCTCTCTGCCTACGGTATGACAAGGAGAAGAGATTTAAGCTGTCTAGTCTTTCCTCGTATGATAAGTTAGTCATGCCATGAATCATACGTGTTGCTTTCCTTTGAACCCTTTCTAGAATAAGCGAGTCCCCCTTTAGACAAGGGCTGGCGGCCTGGATGCAGTTTTCCAGTATTGACCTCACCAGAGATGTATATAGGGAGGTGAACATATCTCTGGTGATTCTAGTGAAGGCTCTACGAATTGCCCATAATGACCTGAAACTACGTGCAGCCACCGCGCGACAGTGTGTTGTGGTTTTTAAGTCGTGGCTAACTGTGACACCTAAGTCCAAGTGAGTCTGAACTGATGGAAGTGTAATTCCCTCTAGTTCATAAGAGCTCGTGCTTGCTTGTCCAATGCGCATGGTTGCACATTTTGCCACATTTATCAGGAGCATCCATTCTATGGACCACTCTGACAATTTGTTGAGGTCCTCTTGCAACGTGGACGTGTCACTGTTGCCCTTCAGCTCTCTCCAAATTTTTAAGTCATCTGCGTATAGGACCATAGGGGAGCCGATGAGCAGAGATAACTCATTGATCTACAAAATAAATAGGAGAGGTCCAAGTACCGTGCCTTGTGGCACTCCACTGCGTACTGCTGCCCAAGAGGAGAGTTTCGAGTTGATCCCAACCCTCTGCCTCCTCTCTATGAGGAATTCCCTGAGCCAGTTTAGTAAGCTGCCCTTGATACCAAGACTTTCCAACTTCATGAGTAGTCTTTTGTGAGGTACTTTATCAAAGGCTTTGCTGAAGTCTATGAAGACGACGTCAACGGGTCTTCTGTTGTCCCTTGATTTGACCCAGCTTTCTCTTGCAGTGAGAAGATTTGACAGGCATGAGAGGTTCCTTCGGAAGCCATACTGTGCTCTTGATAATAAGCTTCTATTTTCTAGATATACCATTATTCTTTTCTTGATGATTCTCTCCAGTGTCTTAATTAAAGTGCTGGTGAGACTGATAGGCCTGTAATTTGAAGAGCTTTGTCTTGATCCTCCTTTGTGGATGGGGGTTACTATGGCGTCTTTCCAGTCACGCGGTGACACTCCATTTTGGAGAGAAAGCTTGCAGATCGTGGTCGAAGGGCCGGCTATGTGGGCTGATAACTCCTTGAGAAGCCTTGGGTGAAGATTATCAGGACCCATTGATTTCCCTGCATCTAGTTTCCTTAGGCAGTTGAACACGATGCCTTGGTCGATGTCAACGGAATCTATCCCATGTTCTTCTGATGCAGCCAGAGCTGATCCTATAGGCAGTGACGACTCCTGAGTGAAGACTTGGGAGAAGTAGTTTGCCATTGCTTCTGCTTTTTCTTGATCTCCTTCGATTGTATCATTGTCAATAGTCAGGTTTGGGACACCACTGGATGTTTTATTCCTGAAGTTCATGTACGAGAAAATTTTCTTAGGTTGTGCCTTTGCATTTTGAGCCACGTGTGCTTCCAATTTCATCCTTGATTGGCGGATTTCTGCAATAGCTTTATTTCTAGCAGTGTTATATAATTTCCTGGTCTCAGAAGTCTCAAGTGTGGCAAACAAGTTCCAACATTTGTGCTTACGTCTAAGTAACTTACGAATCTCTCGGTTTATCCAAGGAGGGCAGTGTTTCCGACCCTTTGGGACAGACCAAGGGATGAAAGGTTCAGTTACTTGGGCGTAAAGTTGTTTAAATTGGTTCCATGCGGCTTCTACTTGAGACTCTGGGTTGATGTACCAGTTTACTGAGTTGGCTGCTGAGACGATTGCATTTATATCAGCTTTCCAAACGTTTGGTCGAAATGGGGTTTTGGCCCTTGCTGCCGTTGCTGTGAACTTGAAAGTGAGCACAGCATGGTCACTTTTTCCTAAGGGAGGAAGATGTTGTATGAGATCTACATCCTCACCATGGGAGAACACTAGATCCAGAGTTGAGGAGGAGTGCTGTGAGTCATAGCGCGTAGGCTTGATGATATGTTGGACCAGGAAGTCATCTGCACTGCAGTCAGGACTGCGGTACATAGCAATGAGGTCAATGTCTTGGCCTATGCATTTAAGTCTGCAGCGTAGAAGTTCGCACGACTCACTTTCGTGAGCGAGTGCTTCGATACTACGCACGGTTAAGCATTTCTTGAGGTAGATGACTACGCCACCTCCTTTGCGGTTTAGTCGGTCCACCATATGCACTTCGAAGTTTGGCAGGTTAACTTCGCTGTCAGTGACATCGGGTGTGAGCCATGTCTCTGTGATAATAATTACATCTGGGTTTCCGGAGTCTATCATGTTAACCAGCTCAGTCCGTTTATTTAACAGGCTGCGGGCGTTTGTGTAGCAAACTGTTAATTCAGTTTGGTGCTTCCCCAGCCTACCCACAGAGGTTTCGGGATCATTAAACTGCGAACTTGAACAACCCGAAAACCCTTAATCTTAAGGTCCTTTTCGCCGTTTCGGCGTCGTTCGCCTAATTCTAGGGCCGCAGACTGTCAT